TGGATGGAAAAGCCATTCATTGGCACCAGAAATCATAAGAAAGATCAGAAAGCTTCAGAAGACAAGAAAGGTTAGTTGAAAATATATCTTAAGAGATAGAAGCAATTTTTTAGCCATGATGGACTTAAAAATTTAATATATAATCGGGATGATGTTATGACTAGTGTTCAAGATTAGGAAGCAACCTTTATTACAAAATTACAAAGAAAATTTTTAGTTAGGATTAAAAATCTAGAAATTTGATCTATTAACTTGGTTCTTTCGTTGGTTAATTGAGTTGGAAATCACATGTCAAAAATTCGTTCCATGGGTGCATCTCTGTCGAGTAAATGATGGCGAAAAGACCTGCTTTCTTCAATACGTAACAAAAAGATAGATTAGGCCGGACTAACTTAATTCGGTGGTTTACATTACATTCCTCTCTCAAAAGAGGGGGAGGGGGAGAGGATAAAAAATTGAACTACATAGTAAATTTTAATAAAATTTTTTTAAATCAGAAATTTTCAGCCTGACCTTGCTCGCCTTTTATGTTCGTTCATTTTCTCTTCGAATTTTTCGGATCCCAATCTTAATTCTGCCTGACATTATGCTCTCCGGCCAAAATCATATATATATATCCCAAAATTTTTTTTTACTAAGATAGAGAGGGGGGGTAATGTAAACCACCGAATTAAATTGGTCTGGCCTTATTAATACATTCACACTTAGCAATTCTAACCTATCAATTTGAAATATCTTTTTTTTTTTGTATAGAGTGATATCAAGCGCCTAGAAGCTATTTGGAAAAGAAAGGATCGAATTCCTCTTCAAGATGCGACCAATACCATCCCGGTCCAAGGATGAATATTGCGGGTCACGATACATGGATAATTGCTGCTTTAGGTGTTATAACCGCTGATCTTCCTCAGGGTAACGATCTTGCAGATACGAAGCGTCATGTATGGCCAAGGAGCGGGTAATGTTTCTCCGGGTCCTTCTAAAAAAAAAGGATGATGTCAAAATGAGTGAGGCAACAGGAGTTGCCACGTAGGATTAATTTAGCTTTAACTAATGGTATTAATAGTTGTTATTTTATTTTTATTAATTTCTATTAATTTGTATATTTTATAGACTTTATAACGCATTCTGAAGCTTACAAAGGTGCAAGCATTAGGAATGTTAAAAATGATGAATTCCTCTCTCGTCCCAATAAGCCATTACCTGAACGTCTTCGAGCTTGGTTAAAAATAAAAAAAAAACCAAATAAAAAAGCGAAGGAGGGACTTCTGTTAAAATTTGAAAAAAAGATGAAAAAGGTAATTGTTAAATAAATATTGGTAATATTAATGAACTTTTTCATTACAAAAATTTGCTAATCTTAATAATTAATAGTTATTGGATGCGAAGCATCCAATAACTGTAGTATTCGGCACATTGACATTGATTAAGTAGTGA